GACATAAGCTGGATTTTTTTTTTTTTTTTTTATGAGACAGAGTCGTTGCTCTGTTGGCCCAGGCTTGAAGTGGCAGTGGCACCAATTCTACTGCTTCCTGCAAACCTCCTCCTCCCCTGATTTTCAAAACGATTCTCCTGTCCTCACCCTCCTGAGTAAGCTGGGAATACTTGTATTGCGCCACACATGGCCTTGGCTAATTTTTTGTACTTTTTAGTAGAGGTGGGGTTTCAGCCATGTTGACCAGGTGGTCTTTTCAATAACTCCTGACCTCATTTATTCACCCGGCCTCCCCTTCCCCAAGCGCTTGCAGATTAAGAACAGGCATGATGCTGCTGCAACCCGCAATCCAATTTGATATTTTTTTTTTTTTTTTTTTGAGACGGGTCTTCAGTCTGGTCGCCCAAGCAGGGGAGTGCAGTGAGAGACCGGATCTCGCTAATGGCAGCTCCGGCCCGCCCGAGTTAGCCGATGCCACCACACCTGGCTAATTTTTGTATTTTGAGTAGAGACAGGGTTTCTTCATGTTGGTCAGGCTGGTCTTGAACTCCTGACCTCGTGATCTGCCCACTTTGGCCTCCCAAAGTGCTGGGATTACAGGCATGAGCCACCGTGCCTGGCCTTCACCTGGTCATATTTCTTTAGGGATTATCAAACCACCTTTTGCCACCTGTTTTAAAGATGGTTGTGTTGGCTAGGCATGGTGGCTCATGCCTGTAATCCCAGCACTTTGAGAGGCTAAGGTGGGCAGATCACTTGAACTCAGGAGTTTGAGACCAGCTTGGGCAACATGGTAAAACCTTGTCTCTAAAAAAAATACGAAAATTAGCCAGGCATGGTGGCTAACGCCTGTAATCCCAGCTACTTGAGAGGCTGAAGCAGGAGGATCACTGGGAGGTCAAGGCTGCAGTGAGCTATTATTGCACCACTGTACTCCAACATGAGCAACAGGGTGAGCCCCTGTCTCAAAAAAGGAAAAAAAAAAGATGGTTGTGTTATAGGTTGCTATGACTGCATATTAGTTTTCTAGCCAACACTCTAAATAGCACCCAGTTTCTTTTTTGTTGTTGTTGTTTGTTTGTTTCTTTTTCTTTTTCTTTTTTGAGACAGAGCTTCACTCTTGTTTTCCAGGCATGGAGTGCAATGGTGCAGTCTTGGCTCACCACAACCTCTGCCTCCTGGGTTCAAGTGCCTCAGCCTCCCGAGTAGCTGGGATTATAGGCGTGTGCCACCACACCCGGCTAATTTTGTATTTTTAGTAGAGACGGGGTTTCTCCATGTTGGTCAGGCTGGTCTCGAACTCCTGGCCTCAGGTGATCCACCTGCCTTGGCCTCCCAAAGTGCTGGGACTACAGGCGTGAGCCACTGCGCCCAGCCCCCAGTTTCTTTTTATTGTGGAGTCATCTTCCCATGCAATATATTTGAGTGATGCTATAGTCTGGGAAAACTGCCTTCCCTTAGTCAAGTGTCAGGTTCATAACTCAAGACGGGCCAATCACATTCTCCTCCCACTTCAGCTCCCAAGTAGCTGGGACTACAGCCAGCATGCCTGACTATTTTTGTATTTTTTGTAGAGACGGGGTTTTGCCATGTTGCCCGGACTGGTCTTGAACTCCTGGGCTCAAGTGATCCACCCATCTTGGCTTTCCAGAGTGCTGGGATTATAGTCGTGAGCCATGACACCCGGTCTCTAACTGATACTATTGCCATGGCCTACCTTGCTTGCCTTGGCAGGAGGGCCAGCTTGGCATGAGTTAGCAAAGAACCACTATTTGAGATCACTGTTTTATCTCAAGTACTGCTGGAACCCATGCACCTAGAAAAGACCAGAGTTTTCAACCAGTAGATCCAGAATAAGTAGCCTTATTGAATCAAAGGATATATCAGCCAAAATTATCAACAAGCACAACTTGATATTTTTGAATGGTAGCTTGAAGGACCTATCTCAGAGTGCCCCTTACATTTTTAACTGAGGAGCCAGTATTATCTATTGATCATTGAATAGCAGTGTGTCCCCTGGTCATATTTCTCTCATTCTCTGTGTGTCTTTTTTGTTGTTAATGTAGAGCTGGAGTCTCACTATGTTGCCCAGGCTGGTCTTGAACTCCTGGGCTGAGTGATCCTCCTCCTTTGCCCTTCCAAAGCACTGGCATTTCAGGTATGAGCCACCACACCTGGCCACCTGTTTTTTGTTGTTGTTGTTGTTGTTGTTTGTTTTTGAGATAGGATCTTGCTGTAACAGCTTGGCTGGAGTACAGTGGTGTGAACACAGCTCACTGCAGCCTTGACATTCTGGGTTCAAATGATCCTCCTACCTCAGCTTCCCGAGTAGCTGGGACTACAGGTACACACCACCATGCCAGGCTGA